TAAACTAAGGATGACTTGTGAGTTAACATATTTCTCTTGGAATTGTCTTTGCGATGTGGTTCATAATTGTGCATTGTATAATAAATCATTTTAGTAAAATTAAAATAATCTGTAATATGAAAAATTATTAAATTGTTAAAATATTAAAATATTTTTTTTAAAAAAGATATTTGAAAATTTTCGTTAATGTTAAAAGTCATTATAATGTATTAGATTTATTGGTTAATTGAATTTCAATAGATAAACCTTATATTGTAGTATAGTATCCTCCCCCCTGGACCAAAGTACCCCCGTAGTGAATTTGTAAAGTACCCGGGTACTTGAGTCAGCTGTTTACGGTAAACCCAGAGATGTTACCAACTATAATGTCTGAAATAAAAAATTAATTCTTAAATTCTTTTATAATGTTAAAGCATTAGCAATATCAATCAAAGATGTATTCAATATGACACTAATCCTGGAAAGATGATTCAATCAGCTTTAAAAAAATCCATAGTTATTAAAGACAAAATAATAATCAAATCTTAATCAGTGATTCGCAATCTTACACAGATCTTTTAATTTTTGAAAATTGCTATAAATTTTTTTGGTTATTAATAGAAGTGATCAAAATCTGCGACAAATAATAAGCAAATGCACTGAATCGACATTTTATTTATTGAACTTCCTAATACGGGATTTTTTTTCCTAATTTAAGAAAATACAAAAAGAAAACTGCAATGCTGAAACGCCCCTAATTTGAGTCACATTTTATTTATTGATCGTTTTACGTTTCGCAGATTTATATTTAGTATCAATTCTATTAATAACCAGAAGGTAACTATTTGAGAAATTTTTTTTTTCCTTAATTTAATGTTAAGGGAAGTTGGATGTATTTTTCTCAAATTAGGAAAAAAAAGAAAAGATCCCCAATATTTTACCTTCTGGTTATTAATAGAAGTGATCAAATAATTTCCAATTTAAGAAAATACAAAAAGAAATCTGCAATGCTGAAACGCCCCTGAATGAATCCCCTGAATCTGAGTCACGTTTCGCAGATTTATATTTTAGTATCAATTCTATTAATAACCAGAAGGCAAATATTTGAGAAATTTTTTTTTTCCTTAATTTAAGGGAAGTTGGGTGTATTTTTCTTAAATTAGGAAAAAAATGAAAAATCCCATTATTTACCTTCTAGTTATTAATAGAATTGATATTAAAATAGCAAACAATACTAAAATGATTATAAATCTGCGAAACGTAAAACAATAATAAATAAAATGTCAGGGGCGTTTCAGCATTTGCGGTTAACTGGAACGGTATAAATAAATTGAATAATTTATTGGCTTTCTCAAATTTAGGCTCGACCATAAAAAATTTTATCAAATACCGAAACAAAACTGACTTTATAAGTAATTCATGTACTTATCTGCTAATAGCTTTAATTATAAAATTGTATTTAAAAAATAAGGTAATTAAAAAGCATTTTATTTTATTTTATTTTTTTTTTTTTTTGCATTACCAATTACGAATAAATGCTAATTCTCTTTCCATGGTTAATTCTTCCTCATTCACTTCTTCTATTCGTCATCCTCCTCTTTTGTTTCTTTTTCTTCTACTACCAACCCTCTATTCGAACATTAGAACTTTATCTTGGAAAATTCTAACTAACAATCGTAAAATACAAGTAACGATGTTACGAAATTATATGTTAGTAATATTATTAAAATTCCGAGAAATCTCTGCCACCTCAATTAGGCTTGGCAGAAAAATTGTTTTAATAGATTATCTGATCTTGCAAAACGATCACACGCACCGAACCCGAACAAGAAAAACGAGTGCCTGCGGGGATTCAAGTTGTAGGGGTCAATAGAAGGACATTAGAAATCTGTGCATCTACAGATTTCTTTAATAAATGTTGTAAGTAATCAGAGCGTACGAAAGACGCGCAATTAATAGTTATCAGTTTACGTGATTACTTCCTTGAACTGTCGGATCGTTTATTGGGAATTTATAGTCTGAATAAAAAAAACGTTCCTTTAATTACATACAATTAATTATTTAAATGACAAAACATTCGTTAATAAATTTATGGTCTTTATCATACGTTCCACTATCTAAACCGTTCTTTTAAACGCGAGTTCAATCTCATTTCTAAATTTAGTAATCACATTCCCCAAATTGACAATCGGTCTAAAATCATCGGATCAGAGGATTTTTTTTTTAAAAAAACTGAAATCAAGTATCGTTTGATAACACTCATACTTAATTAACACTCTAAAAATATAGAAAAAAAATTACTCTTGTATTTAGCTGTAAGGAAGTGTCGATCTGCATTTTTCTAGCCAAAATCGCGAACAAACAGATCGCTTCAAATTGTTTTTAATCGTTTTTATATATTTTATGAAAGGTACATATGTGAGATCATTTGTACAGAATGCAAAAAGTTTAATAAAATTTATTTTACCTAATGGAGTTTAGAAAAACCTTGAAATCTAAGACTATTACAACTATTAATCCACCACTCAAAACATGAGAGCTTCTATAAAGTTCTTGCTTTCCCTTCTCTTGTACCGAGCGATCTAAAACCTTGTGAAATTTTTCAGCCAAATTGATGTCCTATATTCAAACACCGACATAAAATTAAAATTGGTTTCTGCCAAAAGAATGTCGCATGTTCCATCCCGATGTAAAAAGGAGCAACGATCACTTGATATTTCCCATAAAAGTATGCCAATATTAATTTGCGCCTCAATACGGACGCGGAATATCAACCTTACAATCGGCAAAGCTTTGAACCGCAGAAGGATCCAATATTAATTTGCGCCTCAATACTGCCTGCCTGTATTGGGCGCTTTGCTTTGCGGAATATCAACTGCACTTTTGATAGGTTACAATCTGCCGCAGGCACGCTCTTGATGTCGACCATAACTTTATGAATAAAATAAAATTAAATTTGGTTAGATATAAAATACCAAATACTTTCCGCAAGTTAAAGAAATGAAAGTTGTTTTTGATTGTTACGAGTATATATATCATAATTAGAATAGTACTTTCACTTCAAAAGTGAACAACGGACACAGAGAATTATACAAGCAAGTCAAGAGGAAGTACTCTTCTAGACTTTTGTGATGAATAATATCACAATTGTAAGTTCAAATATCAAGTAATTTAGTTACTATCGCTTTATATTTTTTTTTTTTTTTTAGAATTTTTATAAATAAAATAACGTTATCACACTGTTTATACTAAATTATAAAATATTAAATTACGGCGTTTTATATGTGATATAAATGAATAAATGATCGTCGGCAAAATGTGATAAAATTAAGCATGTCTATGGGCCAAATATCCCAAAAAATATCCTTTAATTGAAGCTTATTCTTACTCCAACGTGAAGCAGAAATTCGTTATATATAATGTTTTTCGCATACCTACGGTATGCGTCATCATATTATGATTTTAACAAATTTGCAATAAAATTAATAATTTAAGCCAATACGTACTCGATCCGTACCGCGTTAGATTTATTCCTCGGAACAACCTGAAGAATCCCAGCAAAGAAGAGAAGTTAAAAATTTCCGCTATGATAACCGTTTATGATAAAGTAACCACCCTAAAATGAAGTAAAATTAGCATGGGGATATTTATGTTAATAGAAGATTAAATTCATTATACCTGATCATATGGACTTTAATGATGTTCTTTCAGTTCCTCAAAAGTCAAATCAGCTATGAGAAAATTTAGAAAGTACCATAAAAGAAATCTATTTTTAAATAAGAAAATTTATATCATATATAAATTGTAATTATTAATTTTGAAACAAAGTTACCTTTCTAAAAATACCGGTTCATCAACCACAGTCTTCACATATCCTTTTAAATCATTTTCATTGTAATCGATTTCATAATAACTGTTTATGATTAGCTTTGATATAAAAAGTTTCATACCCTATACAAGAAAACGAAAAAAATTGATGAGTCGCGATATAATTACGTTAAACCCCTTAAGCGAGCTTCATTCGCTTTTTAATACCCTCATGCTCGGAAAATTGAGGTTTAGTAAATGATGGTTTATCAAACTCGAAACTGTATTGAGTCTAATTTTTATATTATTTTATTTTTTAAAACAAAAAAATGTATATAATGTATTCCATATAAAAACAACAAAATAGTACAGAAAACAAACCATTATTTCCTTGCCCATCTTCAAAAGCAGAATATCTAATCGCTTGCATTGGGGGTTTCGTTTATAACTTCATCTAGACCACGCTCAATAAAGTCATCAAAAGAATCCAACTGTTGTCGTACAATTCCTTTATTTTTGAAAAATGATGATAAAACTTCCCAGCACTCTCTTGTGTAAGATCCGCTTCATCATCATCCTCTTCAAATGCAAAGGCGTATTCTGTTACCAGAGATTCTATAATGCAAAAGATTAAATTAGTGATTTTGATTTTGAATAAAATGCAATCACATACCATCTGTTTGATAGCCCAAAAGAGCTTCTGAACGTGTATCATCAAACATTCACAACCGTTTGTGAATCATTATTCACAGAAGAATTTTCAAATGTGTATTCGCTATAATCCATATTTGTATTTAGAATGATGTTGAATTAAAAATAAAGAAGAAAAATTATCGATGAACCAAGCATCGTATTTAACGTGATAAAAACTCGTCATCAAGCCAAGCATATTACGTTTAAGATCAGCTAAGCATATTACGTCAGTCTCATTTTATCCTTACGAGTTTTTTGCGATATCATTACGAACAATGATATTTGATTAACCTAATTTTCCTAATAATGTGCGTTAACTATAATTTGCGTCAGATGCCGACTGGCCTAAATTATGGGCCTATTTTGGGCTGATCTTATAATGCCTTAAGAAGTTTTGGCCAGCATTAGTCATCTGACGCACCATCGTACCTAAGAAACGATAAATGCATACCTAATGAACGATAAAACTATTGTAGCATGTCAACTGTCAGTTGACTCAAATCGACATCTGACGCACAACATATATATATACCGAACCGATCGAGAATAGTTCCTATTTAAGCAAAGCGAAGACTTTGATTTCCTTCTCCTATAGTTCGTTCGTTCTTGTCATTTTAGTGTAAAATTGAAAGTAAATCAAGGAGATATCGCTTGTCATATTTATTGTTCTAAATTATTCTAAAATTAAAATTTTTGTTACCTCGTGTCGTTGCAATACATAAAAAAAAAAAGTGGAGAAAGTCCATTATAATAAATCAAAAAAAAATAATAATAAATATTTTTTCGCCATATTTTCCTCGATAATTTATAATAATATCGGTAACCCGAATCCTGTTTTAGAAAGGAGACTCATGT